GTTCTGTTAAGATAAAATGTTGCATCTGAATAACAGTTGGCAAATATGTTTTATAAAAATAAGTTGCTTATTTCATTGAATAAAAGATTTTCCTTTTGACTTTTTCCTTTTATACAGAAAGACATGAGAACTTTGTAGATAATTTAACAACTTAAAATTCAAGTACAATTATAACATTTGCAGATAATGTAAGTGTTTTGAATTTTTCACACTTCAGTAGAAATTTGATAATATTTTGCTGTAGTTTATTAATTTGAGTCTCCATTATAGGAGAACTAAGTGCTTTCAAAGAAATGAAGAAGGCAAACAGTCATATCAGGACAACTGTTCACTAAATATGTGATGTGTTGAAAATTTAATTCTTAAATAAATAAATAAATAAATAAATTTGGTCATTAGTTAAAATTGTGGGGGCTGTTGTATTTTGACATTAGGAAAGGACTTCAGAGGACGACATAACATTATTATGCTAACGTGTAATTTAATATTAAAATTATACCTTATTAAGAAATTGAGTGATTTAAGAGCAATACATGCATTTCTTACTAACTTAAATCTTTACTTTCAGTAATATATTAACATACCTAGCTTATAATTCTGAACACTTTCCATGCCATTATAATTAATAAAAGTTATTCTCTGTATCATGTATTACATACTTTAGTACAGAACCTTTTTTTTGGGGGGGGGCTTCATTTTGCTGAAAAAATCGTAAAAAGGAAAGTATCATATGACTATGACATATATTCTATAAATATGCTATTATATGCACTTTTAATTGTTTAATGTATTTGATTTTAGACCTTGGCCAAATACATGCTTTTCTTAATCTGTGTTTACACCAACGCATTAACCAATCAGAAGCGAGTTCAGAGGTAGCATTTGCCGGATGGCCGAAGACCGCATAAGTTGACACAATTTTAACATTTTTACGCTTGATGCCTCAGTTTCAGGCATCTTGTTTCAAATGTACAGTTTATACCATGGTTTTTAAATGATTGCACTTTAAAAAATTCTTTGTGATGGAAAAAAAAAAAAGTAAAATGGACTAATCTTAATAAAAATTTCAGATTAAATTTTAAAAAAATGCATACGCTAATAGAATAAATAGCTTTATAAATTATTTAAAGGAAAATTCTCAAGTTTATTAATGGTAATAAACCTTAATAATCAACCAAAAATGATATATGGTTGATAATTTTTACAGAATAATCTAAAGGAATAGATTGTTCCACGAAAATAGTGATGGATTTTGAAATCTCAGATTATGAATTTTAAAAATATATCTACATCAATTTAAGGTTGCTCTTGTTGCCTAGTGGATAAAACGTTGGCTTCTTGAGTTAAAGATTTTGGATTCAAGCATCACCAGAGTAGTGTTGTAATGAAATTGGTATTTTTTAAAAAAATATTTTCAGAAAATATTAGGGCTAGTTTCACAGTAGCCCAGATGCTTTTTTAGTTTCCTGAAGGTGAAGTGTGAAAACGATGCTTACCTGCAAGGTATCGTAGCGCGGAGGTAAAAGATTCGGTAAGTAAATTTACAAAGATAAGTAAAAGATAAGATTCAGCTTTTAGTAGGGGCTTGTATTGCAGGTTCAGGCCTTGCTTTTTCCTACCTTTGATGATGGTACGAATATACTTTTTTTTTTATCCTACCATGAATTTTTTTTGTGGGGGGGGGCACAAGAAACTTGCATATACAGTCAAAAGTCGTTAATTCGGACATCCATAATCCGGAATGATCTATAATCCGGACCTCAAAGCTAAAAACTTTCTGCGCATGCGCCGCGTTGGAACATGCGCACAGGCGTTTTACGCGTGTGCGTAAGACCTTGACTACTGCGCATATGCGTGTGCGCAAGTGCAGAATACGTTTTCGCCTGCGCGTTTTATGTATAACGGACGGTGTAAAGCTCTAATTATCTATTCAGTTAATGTTGCAGATGCGTTGTTCCTTAATCTTGGAATTGGATCAGGCTATTATTTTTTGCAGACTGTAAGAGCAATTTTATAAAAGTAAACTTGAAATTTCGATTATGTCAAATAGAATTTCTGATGCTGGAACTTCCAAAGGATCTACAAAACGAAAGTATGTTCGATGTCCAACAAACAAAAAGTGGAATTGCTGCAAAAAATGGATAAAGACATAAGAATGTGACAGAGAGGTTAGTGAAATGAAAAAATTACGATTGACAAGTTAGTCGGTATTTTCGGCCACAGCAATTAACGGGACTTGAAACAGCGGAACTTGTAACTGAACAAGAAATTTGTCTTTTTATAGAATTAAAGAGAAAGTATTTCACATAAAATGAACAACTTAAACAACATTGAGAGAATGTTTAATAAAGTAACAAATAATATTAAGTTTATTTATTTTTTTTTTTTGTAAATTTTGATATCCTTTATATCATATTGTTCTTTATTTCATAAATTACGGTTTCAATATTTTTAATTTTAGAATTTCTGCATGCCATCTTACGAGATTTAAACTGATGATCTATATCCGGAAAAATCGATAATCCGGAATCGCCAAAGTCCCGACGAGTCCGGATTAACGACTTTTGACTGTATTTTTCATTTTATTCATCATTCATACAAACCTAATTTTTGCTCGGCATTGTGTGCATTATCCTTCTTTTGACAACGAGCCTTTGGTATAATTTATAAGATCTGATTCCATTTCGGCTGACACGAGACTAGCAAAAGTGATACTAGTATTAGTATAAAGTTGCTGTTTCATCTAATTAAAAAATTTAGTGAGTTCTGAATTTTAAACGAGTGGTGATGAGTAAACCATTTGTTTAAAGAAATTAAGAAAACTATAATCCAGAAAAGAAGCTCGCTAGTATGTAGCTGATTTCATGTAATATTTCTATGCATTTTAATGGCTTCATGTTTGTTTTTCTTAACATGCATGACCACATTTCGACAGGTTTAATCTTGATAATTGTTCATTAATTTAAAAAAACTTTTGCATGAGCATTAACAAATTTGCTAACTGTGGAATTCAATATTTAACACAGAAAAAGAAGTACAGTACAAAGTGTTTAATCCGGACCTCGTCAGGACTTCGGAGATTCCGGATTAGGGGTTTCCGGATTATAGATCATCAATTTAAATCGGTAAGATGCATCAGAATTATAAAATTAAAAATGTGAACCATAATTTAGAAAAAAAGAGCAATATGATCTAAAGGGTATCAAAATTAGAAAAAAAAGCTTAATATTTATTTTTTACTTTATTAAGCATTTCTTCAATGTGAGTTGTTTAAGTGCTTCGTTTTATGGCTAATACTTTCTCTTTAATTCTATAAACAGACATAATTTCTTGTTCAGTTACAGTTCTGCTGTTCAAGTCCTGTATTGCTGTGCCGAGAATACCGACTAACTTGTTATCGAATTTTTCATCTTCACTAACCTCTCTGTCACTTTCTCATGCCTTTATCCTTTTGCAGCAATTCCACTTTTTGTTTGATGGACATCGAAACATGCTTTTGCTTTGTAGATCCTTTGGCGCTCCAGAATCGGAAACTCTTTGACATGATCGAATGTTCAAGCTGCTTTTTATAAAATTGCTCTAACAGTCTGCAAAAAAAATAAGCTGGATCCAATTAGAAGATTAAGGAACAATGCACTGCAACATAACTGAAATAGATAATTAGATAAATTTACTACTTATACTGTCTGTATACATTAAACGGGCAATGTGTAAACGTTTGCACATTGAAACATAATTGCCCAGGAAGCTTGTAGCTTTGAGGTCCGCTTATAGACATTCCGTTTTGACGTCCGTATTAAAGGCTTTGTACTGTATTACATAAAATGCAGTTACTTCAGTGAGTTTTAGATAAAAGTGACCTCATGAAATAAACCTTTAGATAGTGGCTGTTCATTAATATATGAATGACTAATTGAAGTAATTACTGTTACATTTAAGGTAAAAAATATGTACATAAGGCAGAAACTATAAAATATTTTTTTAAAAAATTGATATTGTTTATTAACTTAAAAATAACTCCTTTTTAAGTGTGATATTTAATTTAGTAGTGCTGTAAATCCTACATATATTTAAAAATATACATTTTTATTGCATATTTAAACCATAAAGATGTTCATACATCATAAACATTTATGGTATTCTACTATGAAAAATTTACTTCCAAATAGAACATACAATTAAATTTTTAATTATCATTCAAACAAAATTCCAAATAAATTAAATTAGATTAAACAACAATCTTTTCGGGATGTCCTATTCCTACAGTCCAATCGATTCTTTTCTAGGATATTTTGACAAAATAGTTTTTCTGCTTTTGATAAATTTCAATGAGCGCTAGAAATTTCATCAAATTGAGGTGTCATACAAAAGTAATTAAAAGAAATTCGTTGTGTCAGCACATTTCTTCTTCAATTATTTGCATCTCCTTACTGCAGTCATCTCTCACTATAATAAAAACCTCTGCTTTGCTTCTCTTACACAAAGCAGATGTAAAATAAAGTTTTAATCAAACGAATTAAATCCATTTTAATTAAAAATTATAATCGTAAAAAGTCAAAATACCACACAAAAATTTCACGTTTTCCCCAAAGTTTCCAATATGAAACTGCCATCTAGTGCGAGCATATGACAACTTTTAAGCAAAAGTTGCCGACCTGGTGTAAACTGGCTTACACGGAAAGTGCTTTTTTTACACTTTGCCGCTTGATGCCCCAACGGAGAAGTGTGAACGCAGCTTTACTAACTTAAATCTTTATTTTCAGTAATATATCAACATATCTAGTTTATAATTATGAACGCTTTTCACATCATTATAATTAAAAATTATTCTCTTTATCATGTATTCATACTTCAGTACAGAACCCTCTTTTTTTCGGGGGGGGGGCTTCATTTTACTATTATCTGAAAGATTTGTAAAAGAGAAAACATCATATGACTATGATGTTCATATGGTATGCACTTTTGATTGTTTTATGTATTTGATTTTAATACCATTTTAGATCTTGGCCAAAAGTAACACTAAAGGGTTAACAAAAGATTATTTTAAGAACCGTCTGAAACAGTGGGAGCATGTTCCACCTGTTGTAACTGGTTGGTTCCTTTGTTCAGATGACTCCTGTTTCCTTCTGAATGAACTACAACTCTCTTTGGATGCCTTGCTTGGAGATGGAAAATTTTGTCGTATTTTAAATTCCTATGATAAAGGTACTGGTTATATATATATATATATATGTTTATATATGTATGTATATTTCAGCTCTTAGTAAACCTGATATTTGTATATTGCCTTTATTTACTGCATTTAATTTTTTTTTCAATTCATATTAAAGATTCTAATAAATTTATAGAAGTAATGATTTTTTTAAATAAAGTCATTGTATTTTGTTATGTATACCTGGGAAATAAAGAACACGAGAAATATTGAGGGGCAGTCCTGAAGCTGCCTAATGGCTTCAAAAATGAAGGGGAATTAAATTCATTTTCAATTCTTTATCTAATTATTAATTTACAAACGCTATCTAGGCGTAGGTTAAGATAATTGTGCTAATATTTATAGAAATAAAAAGGTTTTAAAATTAAAAATTGCAGACCTGTTTATGCAGTTTCTAATTCTTCAAAGTACAATTTAATATTAGAAGGATATATTTCTTTATTTGTAGTATTATTTTTTAAAATTCTCTTATGTATTGGTTGGGGGTAATTGCACTTACTGACAAAATTCCCACAATAAGAAAACTGGCTTATTAAAAGCACTTTTCTTTCAGCTTTGAAATGTCATTTATTAATGTAACCTCTGTTTATTTGATGTTTTGAATTGGTTTATTACTGTTGTTGAGCTTATGAAATATGTTTTGTTTACATTACTCTATTATATTTTCTCATGAATAATATATGACTCCAGTAGTTTTCAGCATCTTTGATTATTAGCAAGACAATTTAAAATGTTAATCATTTAAATTTTAAATGTTAAGTTAGTTAACATTATTATTTTCAAGGGTATGTTAATATTACAAATGATTCATCATATTTTGAAATACTCTGCTTTCCAAGTTATGGATTGCTTGTGGTTTAGCTAATAATGTAACACAATAAAATAGCTTAAATTTTTTTATTTGCACATTCAAATTTTCTTGTGACACATCATGTAGCCAACATGAGTTCTATTTCCAAAACTGTGAATTTACAGCTGGATGCATTTTATGTTTTTAAATGCTCAAAAGTTTTTATCCTTTATTAATATGTAATATGCATTTTGAAAACCGTGCACTACAGATATATTGAGGGACTAAAGCATTCTGCAATGGTATTGACAATTCAAAGACTGGTCACGTGTAAAGGCATGATCCTCAAACAGTTGAGCATTTCTAAGGATAAAGTAGAGAAAGTTGGAGATGAATTAGTGTGTTGCCCCCCCCAAAAAAATAGGCACAAACTTGGTATTCAACAACCAATAATTTGGATGATATTACAATAGTGATTGCATTATATCAAGTGAAATGAATTTAGTAATTCTATGCAAGAAGACAGTATTGCTACCCATCTCTTAACATTTTGTGACTAAGTAATGTTTAACCTTTTAACTGTCATGCCCGAAATAATCTTGGGCACAGCACTGGTATTCCAAAATGTCACGCCCGAAAATTACTCGGGCTAATTTTTTTTTTGAGTGCATCGTATTGTTATACCCGAATATATATGTGAAAGTTTTATTTCGGCTTCAGTTCAACGATGCAGCATTTTACTGAAGGTTTCAAAGAATAGAGGTTAAAGTTCAAAGTGTGTGGCATTTTTTGGATTTTTTTGACTGCGAGGCAAACATTTCATTTTTGAAATAAAAAAAATTGATAATTTATGCACCCAAACCATCAAAATAACTTGACAGTTAAAAGGTTAATTTGTGCGAAATTTTGAACCTTCACAATAACTCAACATAAGGTATAGAAAATTGTCATGCTATCATTGAAGAGAAATAGAACTCAACAACGCTAAAAATTTTTTTGTGCCAGTTCATTTATGTATGTATGAGCCCTTCAATGCTTTAAGAAATATCTGATGGGTGTACTATATCTTGATATGTGTCAGTTGTTGTTATTTCTTCAAAGAAATGGTGATCCAGCAAATTTTATATACCAGCAAGAATCTCATTGACACTGTGAGGTATATTGCAACCCATATGATGAGCTTTTATGTGACTGGATTAGTTAGCATGAGAAAGATGACTTAGCTACCTGAGTTATAAGTTGCCTCATCACTGGATTGGTTCATATGGGAAGAAATGATTTAATGTTGTTCAGATGGCCTTCAAAGTCTCCTGTCCTAAGGCATAGTGATTTCTTTCATCTGGGGATTTATTAAAAACAGTATTCCTGTGCCCATATTGTCAGCTACATTAGAAAAGCACCAGTTGTTTTAATAACTATCAGTGAGAAATAGTACAGTGTGTGTGGCTAAGATTGGAGTACCATTTGGGCATGCATTGTATAATGAGAGATGAAACTGAATATTTATAGTATTATGACTAAAATTTATATTTCATCTCATATAGTGCTCATTGTTGTAATGCTTTATAAAATGCCTCATTTTGAAACCTGATAAATCATTTCTAATGACTCTGTATAGTAATAGAACTCAATACCCACATATATGTAGGAAAGAGATCAAATTTCAAAATAATTTTTTTCCTATTGTGGTTCAGATTTTTTCTGAGGATCAACCTATCCTTTGAGAACTGAATCGCAATTGTTTATATTGGCTTTTTTTTAAAATCTTGTAAATTTTTGATCCATACCTGAATCATTACAGCTAGCCATTTCCCACAACTTTCAGTTCTTGAGAGTCTTCACTGATTAAAACTCCATCATCATCTTTAGTTATACTTGTATGAATATTTTATCTGATATTAAGGCCAGTTTGAAGTCTTTCCTTGACGGAATTTCTTTTGTTTTGACCATCTTATAGAAAACTATGTATTTTCTCTTGGTTTTTTAGTTGTTCTCCCAGTCTCTCTCACCTCTTTTTTTTTTTTTTTTTTTTTTTTCAACCAGATAATTTTTGCTTCTGATCCATTTTATCTTCTATATAAATTATTATCAAAAGAAAAAATTGAAATAAAGTTTCTTTCTGAACAAAAATAAAATAGCAATTTGCAAACTAACTACTATTATCATATCTGCTCCCCTTTTTTTTACTAATTTTATCCAGAAATCAAGAGGGGGAAAATTGTGCAAGTTTTATTTCTAAAGAATATAATAAATGGAAAGTAGTCGTAGATGAACTACACAATAATATTTTTAAGAGGAATTTACTTTCCAGTAAGAATACATAGTAATAGTAACATTATAATATCTAATAAGATATCTTCATTTCTATTTCCCTTTAACTTGAATCTCATACATTCATATTTCTATCTGTGCTATTTATTACTCAAATCATCCATAAATAAATAGAGAATGTGAATGTGAAGCTGACTCAGTGCAATTATAGACTGAATGTGAGTTCATGTTTGCTTTGCTGTGATTCATCAGTTCTTGTATTAGGTTGGCATAATGTTTAACAGTTAGAAGAAAATGTTTCAGGGTGGTTTTTGAAAATAGTTTCATATTTGCTGTGGTTACCTTTGTTAGACAAAAACAATCATTATGTGAATGAACCCATTTTAAAGATTAGAGAAGCTCATTCTTTGAATGCTTTGAGGAAGGGAAAATTACGTGAATATTTTACAAATTTTCAGAACCTGTGTCTTAAACATGGGCAACACAATGCTTACTATATTTTAATTGACCAAGGAATTGTCAACACAGGCCCACACTCCACTTTTGTATTGCTACCACCACTGAACCGTTGGTATGGAGTTCTGAAATTCCAAACAAGAAATTTGTTTGTTACTTGCCACAGAGAGGAGCTATTACTCTACTTAAATAAGTCGCTTGTCATAAAAATTTACCACCCATTTTTTATATCTTTAAAGCACCTTCTTCATAATAGTGTCTGTGTGCTTAGGTTACTTCATACACATTACTGGCTGGTCCTCATCTTCTGGGTTCACCTGGATATTTACAATCCTTTCAATGTCAAAATAAGCCCCAAAACAGTACATACTGTATTCAAGGTGTATACAATTATATATACCACATGTAGTATGTTGGTTTTATGTATGTATAAAACTTAATTTTCCTTTTTATAAAAATTATTGCAGTTCCAAGCAGTGGATTTCAAGGGTTACAGATTTGTAAAGAAATGATTATGATTGGATAAATTTCTACCGTGAATATATTTATTCTAAACCAAAGAAATCTTAATTTTTACCATATATATATATTATTTAAATCTGCATTATAAATCTTCTGTTCAATGGTATGATCAAACGAAATACCTGCCAACAGTTTTGCTTAAAAGGATTTCAGAAGAATATTACAGAATTTTCATCATTTTATTAAAGCTCGTCATTAATTTTCCATACATTGAAACTTAGATTTGAAATTAAGAATTTTATTATGCTTTAAATAAATATAGTTTTTTTAAATATAAATCTAAATTTAATTAAATGAAAAGAATATTGTGCAAAAATATTTTAAGAACGTCTTTTGTAGTAACCAAATTTAATTTTAAAAAATTCTGTAAAAAGATTTTAATAATGTGTTCTTCAAACCGTTGTGAACTTTGAAGATACAACTTATGCATAAAGGGCATATAAAAATATATGTGTACCATTCTGAAATAAATGTAAATATGTTCTGATTGTAATGAAATTTATTTTTGTATGGTTGTAAAATTTTAAAAAATATGTTTTATTTTTCAGATGAACTTTTGAAGCATTACAAAGCTAAGAAATTGCTGTTTTGCTTAGCTGGTTGCAGTGCAAATAACAATGCTAAAGACTTAAAATCTTACTACTTATCTGAAAATGTTAGTAGTCTGGATTTTTTGATACGTTGCTACAAATCTAACTGGAGTAATGAGATAATTTAATGTTTATAACTTTAGCTGTTATTATTTAATTTTATAAGCTCGGCCTGAATGTGAACTAGACTTTTATGTTAATAGAGCTGTTCTTATTATGTTGTGCATTTAATAGATGGTAATGAATAAATGGTGATTAAGCATGTACCTTATATACAAATTTTATTGGTTTGTATTCACAGGCATAAAATTAAAAGAAGAGGCGTCTAGTGGGTTATGTCAGTGCTTGGCTATTCAGCAATATTTATTTTTGCTTCTTTGTTCTCTTAGCGGCTAATAATTGAATGCTGCTTTTATTTTTTTATGAGACCTATAAAAGACAAGACAAGAAACATTGTAATCTGCCTGAAACAATGTCATTTGAGTAGTGTTGCCCCTAATGCACTTATTAAGTTACAAATTTCAGTGGGATGAAGTAAATTTTTCATTGAAGAATTTCAACTTTTTAATTCGTGGTTTGAAAGTACATATGAATGATATAGTTCAAAAATAAAATAAATCCCTAACACACATCCTTAGTAAGATACAAAAAATAGTACCCTATAAATTTATGAGAACATGACGCATATATGAAATTTATGAGAGAGAAAATAACATATAAAATTTTAATGTTATGCATGAATGAGATCTGTGAACTACTATAGTATCCAAATATCCTATAATAGTTGAAAATTAGACAGCATTTGGTTTAGTTTTAATAGAAGACTCTTAATGTGTTCTGAAAGGGAAACGTAGTTTGTCTTCAGATTTTGCTTATTTCTAAGTGGAATTTTTGTTGTGATACAAGATAAATAAATGTGATCTGTAAAAAAAAAAAAAAAAAAAAAAAAAAAAAAAAAAAAAACAGATTTCCATCCAAGTGTGACATATACTTGAAACTGTCACTTTATAAAAATGTTTTGACCCATATTAATTACTTATCTTGAAGTGAAATATTTGAATATTAGGGTCACCTGTAATGGGTAAATTTGTCAGCAGCAAGTAAAAGTGTACATCAAAAATAAAAATCAAATTCAAATTAGTAATGTGTTTGAAATATAAGACTTTCTCTTATTTATGGTAAATTTAATTTTTCATTTTAACTTATGAAAATATGCGCTGGGCGTGTCATGTTCATACATGTGTTCACTGTTGTTTAACCTTTTTCTTTGGAAGTGGAAGAAACTTTTTAATTTAGGAGATATTCTTTCAAAGGTTAATATAGGGTTAATGTATTGAGTTTGAAGATGATGTTTAAACAAGTTTGAATTTTGAAAACTCTTCAAGTTTATAATTAGTTTATTTTTGGGGGCTTTGATGTTTGAAAATTATGGTCATATTTAGGAGTTAAATTTTTGGAACAAACAGTAGAATACATTTCTTTAAAATGTATCTTCTGGATATTAGATACTAATGTGCCTTTTCACTTGACTCACATTTAATGTTCAGTCTCTTCCTACCAAACTCAGCACAGCATAAAGGTGCTTCCTGTTGTTGATTGCAGTATTTGTTATGCACAAATATATATGTATAAAATTATGAATGACAAGAAGCAGTCCATTAATTCAAAATGGTAAAAGTTAATACTATTGTAAAATGTGTGATGGATCCTTTATGCAATTCTCCACAAATCTTAGTCCACAATCTTAGGTAATCTTAGTTACTATCTCAGAAGCTCTTATAAACGAAACAACAATACAACCTCCAAAGTCATTAAATTATGTTATTAATGTATTAATGAAACATTATCCTGAATCAAAGAAGTCATTTCACTATTTCAGTTTTATATCCATCTTTTGTATATATTATGTATTGTCTGGCTATCTGTTATATTCAAAAACAGTAATTTTTTTTTTTTTTTAAATCTCCAGAAAGCCTGAAATCATGTCATTTTACAATTTATCAAAAACAGTAAATGTAACTTGAAATAACAGTATAATTTGGCTAACAGCTAGACAGTGACATATGGGGATTTTTTACTATTGTTAAATATCACTTCAATTGATGAAATAATTATCATGCAGTTAAAAATATGCAAACATTCCAATTTCAAAACATATTATGATCACAGCTCTTTAAATTTCTAAGGAAGTAGATTTAACAATGTTTATTTTTTCATTCAGACTCCAAAGACACCAGTTTATAAAAGATGTACAAAATGCTTTTGTAACAAAGGTAATGTTATTCTGCTTCTGTTTGAAAGATGTAAAGAAAAATATGCACATGTGCATGACATTTAGATTGTTTGTACTAACCAAGGTAAATGTTAAAACACAATAAACTACATTTTCAAAATTTTTAAAGTACATATGTAGGATATAAAAAATATATGTAAGTACTGACTTTAATTTTGTAGTAATCTTTTAACTCATTTTAATTTGGGCATTTTCCCTTTCTGTCTTAAAAATAGTAACTGCTTATAATAATTTTTTTCAAAATTAATTGCTGTCATATGAATTTTACATAAACCTCTGATGCAAATAAATTGCTTAAGCCCTCAGCCAATGATAATGTGATTTATTAATTAGCCAACAAAAGGTATCAAAATTGAAACTAAATTGTTCTAAATTCGGATTTTGTCTTGAACACATCACACTTGCTTTCTACTTCTCTTGCTAGATAGATGCTGTCATTCTGCTTCTCTTAAACACAACAGTATGTAAAATGTTCTTTTAAAAAAAGATGCTATGGCACCTATTTTATTTGTGTTGACTTAAAGAAAAATGTGTGTCAGTATAAATAAAAAGAAATATTTTAATCTAGCCGCATCTGTAATTTCTTCTAGTATGCTTGAACACATCTAAATTATTGCACTTAGATTTTAGTTAGCAGAGAAATTAATGCATGTTGTTGCTGCTGTGATTTACCTTTCTTTTCTGATAAGAACATCAGATCAAGTTCATGAATTTTGTCATGGCCAAGAGGGCAAGAATTGTACCTGCCATATTGAGTACCTTATAGGTTATCATGAGAATTTACCCAGCTTCAGCCCATATTGGAAAGGGAATCTTCAGGAGTGCAGATCCTAGGTTCTTCTTTATTTCTTTCCATTCCAGCAATATCTCCAAACTGTTTTTCCAGCTTGACAGTATTGCGAGGGACCCCATGATACAAACGTAATACATGTGTAAAACTAGAATAATGTGCCTTTTCTAGAATTTGAACACAGCCCAAGGCTATGGCTGCTCCCTTACCGCCATGCCGAACAGGACAGCATTTAATATATAAATAATTTAAGCTGCTTAACATGCAATAAATGCTTTTGCATAAGAGACACCTAGCATATATTTTCATGTTTCTCAGTTTGGTATGTTCTCTCTTGGGTTAAAGCTTTTGTTCATTTTGATTTTTAATTTATATAATATTTTTATTCTTTCACTATAGGTTAAAGATTGTTATGGTAGAGTATACAAGCTGAGCATCCAAGCATTTATGGTGATGCCAGCTTATGCTTTGGCCATAGTTTCATTGAATGAAGCAATGAAAACACTTATTCACAAGGCTAAAGATTCAATAAAAAAGTCTAAGCAGAATGATATTGATGACTTCAGTTCAGCTCTTAGTTCACTTTCTCTGAAACGAAAGCTAGCTCAGTGTTGCAAAACAATCAAGTTTGAGGAGAAACTTTCTGTTCCCAGCAAAACTGCCGAAAAACAAATTGTTGATGGCATCACCATTAATCCTTGCAGTTTCATTCTTCTTGCTGAGAGTGGAGAACAGAGTTTTAATCTTTGGGAAATACAGAAGATATTAGAGTGCAAATTGAATAAATTAGATACACATGATGGAAAAATTAATGTTAGCAATTTTATAGAACTTGAAAAAGACTTTAAAATGTGTCGAATATCTAGTGATTCTTGGTTAGTTAAACCTCCCTATGATATAAGTCTTGAAGCTATTTTTACTGGAATTTATGAATAAAAGTAGCTGTATGAAATATGACATTTTTATTCAAGGATTGTTATTTTATAGAACTATACATTTTATTTTTGAATATGTAATTAGCTTGTGTAAAAGAAATTTTAAAATATTTGCTTATAATTTTAATGCAAAAATTAAGGTTTATTCATGTGTAATTTTTAGAAGCAATTGCAAAGTTAATAAATAAAAATGAAATATAGACTGAATTATTAATATTTGTCTTAATTGTTTCATCATCTGTTTAGTTCAGCAAGAATTCTTAAAATGAGAAGTAAATTATTTTCAAATTGAATAAATGTTTTATTATAAACTTTTAAGCACATCTGAATGCATTTTAATGCAATTAGCTTGACACTTTATATATATATATATATTTTTTTGTCTCGCATGTTTTTATAAAATAAATTAGTTTTATCTTGCTGTTATAAGTCTTTAATTGTGGAACAAAAATTTCTATATACATTAGAAGTGTATTAAAATATAGTATGTAAGATTTAATTGATTTATCCATAATCCTTTTTGTTGCCACCAAAAAGTTTTTGCCATCTAGGTGCTACTGTATGAGTATCATCTTGTAAATATTGACTTCAGAAACTATTTAATTAAAAAATATATTTCTCATAACATCTGAAATATTATTAAAATAATTCAATTATTGCTATCAGTTTTTTATTTTTAGTTATTTGTATTGTTGTGTAGATAATTGTCTGATCGCGTTATAAAAAACTAGGTGAATGATTTTCTGATTTAAGAAAATCTTAATTTTATTTGATTCTGAATTATTTATTTTAATGCTTTAATTTTGGGGAAAAACAGATGCTTCTAAGAATATTATTTAGTTTCAAAGAATATTATTTATTTTCCTTTTATTTGCAATTTTTGTCCAAGCTTTCATTCATTGTGAAAAGAAGCAGGGAAGGGAGGCGATTTTGCTAAGTCATGATTTCGCGCGTTTTGTCCTTTAGAATGTTCTAGAAGAAATTTCTTTGTGCACTTGACCTTTAGGACAGGAAGTACGTGCAGAAAGGGTCAGAGGTTGCCCCTTAACTTTCGATGTAAGTCATTCTGGTTTTGGCGATCGGGAGTCCGGTTGTTGGCTAAGTGAAGAGGGGCGTGCATGTGTGATCACCTTAATTCGGTCATTCGGGGAAAGAAACGCAAATTTTGTCCAGATTAAGGGGGCGATAAATGAAGCCATTGTGGGAACCCGTGTTTGTGAAGGAGACGAGAAGAAAATTCGAGTTTGAATCACTTTACTTTTGGGACTGACGTTTTGACTAAGACTTGGACTTCGAACTTGCTCGTGGGTTGAGCGATAGAAAGGTGGAAAAGATGTAGATCATCATTGAGCAGTGCTTCCGGCGGGGAGCGGCAATTATGCTCCTCGGCCGCGCGTTTCGCAAAAATGCGAGGGAGAAAGAAAAACAAAATTAACAGAAACTTTACTTTTTGGACTGACTTTTCTATGGTGAAATGCTGTACTTTAGAGTTCTGGTGATGAATAAGGAAGGGTAGTTCGTCTTCCAGTTGTGCCTATGGCAGGGAACGGCAGTTATACTAACCGGCCGCAGACTTGTCTACGATTTTCCTGGTCCGAATAGATTCGGACAGCCGTGCGGGGCCAGCGGTTCTCTTGCCTTCCAGAGTGAAAATTTTTCGTCTATGGAAACCAGTTACCCGGCCGCGTGTTTCGCCAAAAGGTGCCAGGACAGGACGATGTCCTCTGAACTTCGACTTGTAACCGAGGGGCAGTGCCGTTTGTCGAAAGCCTAGAATTAGGATACTAGTTCGCCGCTTCAAGATGTGTACCCAAGATAATTTTTTTTTTCTGTGTTTGATGTATTCCTATGAATTTTAAGTAAAGTTGCAGAAACTTCCTTGGAATTTTAAAACTAAGATTGCATTTTTAAATTAATTCTAAAGGGTTGGAAATTGTCTCCACTTCCCCTTCTTTCTTTTTCTGAGACATAAATGATAAATAGTAATTAGGGTATAAAAATAGTTTGTTTTGTGAAATCATCCTTAGAATAGATGTTGAATTTCAGATAATGTGTTTCTTTTAACATCCAAGAAATTATAGCAGTAGTTCAAGTTAAATTAAATGAGTCATAAAGTAGATTTGCAAATCCTTGATTTAAATGTGAAAAAATGATTTATGTTGAAGAATCCACATGTGTAACTAAAATAAGAAAATTGAGCATCGATTACTTAGGATGTAAAATTTAATTGTTGAGGAATTTGAATAAGCTTGTATTTTCATCTGGAAACCTATTTCTTATGTTTTCTTTATATCTTTTATGTGTTTTCTTATATGTATATTGATTTTACATCTTGTTTATACGATCCTCTCATGGCACGGTCCCGGATGCATTTACACAACGCAATGCACAAAATTTCACTTATATGATTACTAGAAATATGGGGAATTAAGTAGCTCTTAAGAGTTTAGTTCTCAGCTGATATTTAGTTAGTTATGGTTTCACCTGTCTGTTTCTGCATTAGTTTCCTCCCTAAGAGGAAGTAGAAACACAACAGTATCGTACAGCTATTCTTTTCTAAGTATCATTTTATGAATTTGAAGTTTGTAAACTGTGGGATCAAAAAATGTCTTTTTTAGTTTTTGGAGCATTTAAAATTTATATTCAAGTTTGGTGAACTGTTTCTAGACTTCTCTAAATTTTTTTTTTTTTTTTTATTTTAGTGAGCCGTACTTTTCTTATTTTATTATTTTATAAAGTTCAAATCAGTGAACTTAATTGAAAAATGTTCGTCTGCAGTTTTCTGAAGCAGTAAAAATGTAGTCATACATTCTGTATGAAATATTACCTTACTAACTCTGTTAATTTTTTTCCTTTATGGTAGCCAGTCATTTTACCTCTTCCATTCTCAGTATCATTTTATCAGTGAAAAATCTCTCATCTAAAGAATATTTAAAAGTTTATTCATACGAGGTTGGAACTTTAAGAGTGGCAACTATTTATTTACAAGGAATACAAAAGTGATTCATGTCACCATGTTTTACAGTCCTTCAATACAGTCACCAGCATTGTGTACAACCCGTTTCCAACGATGTGGAAGTCGCAGAATACCTGTAGCAGCGCCTGTTTTGTTGATAGTTTGAATGGACCGGTCTACTGCCGCAAGAATCTCAGGAACAGTTTGGAAGCGAGTGCCACGAAGTGGTTCCTTCATCTTAGGAGTTAAGTCATAGTCACAAGGGCTTAGATCTGGGGAGTATGGTGGATGGTAAAGCACTTCCTAACCCCATCGCTTGAACAAATCATTCATAGCTTGCGCTGAATGCGGCCGAGCATTGTCATGCAAAATTAGAGGAGCGTTCTGCAGAAAGTGTCGCCGTTTTTTCTCAAAGCTGGTCGGAGATTGTGCTCCAAAAATCAGCAGTAATGGTCTGCTGTGGGGGAACGGTATGCGTTAGGATGACACCATCACAGTCATACACAAGAATCACCATAACTTTCACATTGCTGGGGTTCTGACGAAATTTCGAATGTCGTGGTGACCCGTGATGACGCCATTCGTTTGATTGGCATTTCAGTTCTGGCTGGTACGATCGGGCCCAGGTCTCATCCAGCGTAATGATACGGCATAAAAAAGCATTTCCCTTGTGCTCCAGGTGGGTTCGAGCAGCATCGTATCGTAGCCATTTCTGCATTTCCGTCAATTGATGTGGAACCCATCGTGAAGCAGTTTTTCTCATTGACAGGCGTTCCTTCAGAATGTGCAGCAGAGTCATATGCGCTAATCCTGTTTGTCTGGCCAGCTGACAAATTGTTTGGCGTCGCTCACTGTCCATTAGTGCGGCAACAGCTTGCACGTCTGCATCGCTGACACTCGGACGAACTGGCGGCGGCATGTCTGCCACGTTTTGGCTTCCTTCATTGAATGCTTTCACCCATCTTGCTACGGTTCTGTAAGGCAATGCAGATTCCCCGCAAGCCTCTTGAAGCAGCCCTTGATGACACTGTCGTGCTGTACGACCTCTGGCACATTCAATTTTTATCCAACATCGTTGTTCTTGTTTTGAAAACATCCTGACAAACACTTACTTTAGACCGCGAGCTAATACAAGGATCCGTTCTTCGCATCACTCCGCACGCGCGCGACGTAGGCAGGACGAATCTTTGCTGAGAGGTAAGGTAGGTATGTAGTTTACGTGTGGTATACGCGATATTCTTTCGTTTTGTTGCGTAGTGTTTTTTCAGCTGTGTTGCCACTATTAAAGTTCCAACCTGTCGTATATGGTTTGTAAAATAAAACATTTTAAAATGATATATTGTATTTTTTCTAAAGTTAAATGTTAGTTATTAGACATAAATTGCCAATATTTCACTTTTCAATTTATGTGTGGCTAACTTTAAAAAGCTTCCTTTCATATGTTGTTTATTAATTTGTGCTCAAATGTGAATATAAATTGCTTGAATGTTTTTCCTCTGGAACCAAAATATCTCAATTGATAAGCAGCTTGGATCCCTCTTCTCCCAAAAAAACCTTGCTACCCTCTAGCTTCTATTGACAAAGGAATACATTCCCTAAGGCTTCTGTAATAAATAAAATGCAAACTGGTGTATTTTATCTTGATATAGCATTTGATAGGAATCATAATCAAGCTCATATAACTTGATTTTTGGCCTATTTCATTTTATATTATTAAGTCATATCTGAGTAACAGATCGTTCTCTGTTCAAGTTAATACTATCATTTCGAATTCCTGTCTAGTACATTCAAGCGTGCCCAGGGTTCTTTATTAGGCTTGTATTTGTTCAGTATCTTCATTAATGACATGCCAGAATTATTTAATATCACTCTAGCATTTTATGCTTATGACATGGCCATTCTTGCTCAATATACAAGACTGGATTTTCAGGTTCAAAAATTCAGTTTTTCAGTGTTGAGCTTTGGCTTATTTTGTGAAAAATTTAAATTAACATTACTAAATGTGTTGCCATGATCTTTTTATGTGTACCCTACGATTAATTTAAAGTTTTTCAATGATTACATTCCCTGGTGTAGTTCTTATATATGCATACCTTGGTTGTACCTTGAATTCAAAATTAATTTGATGTCTTCATGCTAAGAATGTGCTGAAGATGGGTCAGATTCCAGGTATACCCTTTATTTTATTAGCTGAGAAGAGCTATCTGTCAATTTAAAACAAAGTTCTCTATACCTCAGACTATAAGACCTGTTTTCATGTTCACATGTAAAGTCTGGTGCTAATGCTGCAAAGATACACATAACACTCAGTCTTTCAAAATAAAATCTTATGTTTAGCCCTTAATGCACTGTAGTATGATTAGTAATGATGTAATTCATTTGGACTTAATCAATAAGCCCATTGATAACTTAAAAGATTTAGTCAAAATTTATATTCTAAGATTTAACTAATTACCTGGCATGTACACTCATTATCAGGGATAATTAAAGACCCATGTAATATGCACCAAAACTGTGCATCTTAATTGGCAAAACTGGGCATCTTAAATTTTTAGTCAAAATTTATTTTCTAAGATTTAACAAATTGCATAGTATGTGAAAAAATGGGGACAGCTCTATATCTCCCATTCTACTGGGCCGGTTGACGAAATTCAACTTGCGTTTTTCATGTCTCGAAAGCGCGAATTAGGATATATATTAGATT